TTTCCAATACACACAGCAACTGTGAAGTTTCTCTTCACAGAAACAAGTAAATTACATATTAATAACATTTTAATTTTAATCTTATTAAATAGTTTTAACATATAAACAAATTACAATTGATAATATTATGTATGGGGGTAGACCTAATATATCTGTTGACAATGGGCAGGAGCGGGGAGATCCCTACCTTGTATATAGAGACGACTGAGTACGTTTTCATTCGCCTGGTGTCTCTCTTCACCTAGCAGTAAATGGGTAGCAAGGCATTAGTGAACTGCTGTACTTACCTAGTCGTGCTTGCAGGGGTTCCGGTAGTGCAGTCGGGTTCGTTCTCGACACATACTCCAGGATTCTGGGTTCGAATCCTGGGCGGGACAGAAATGATTGGGCATCTTTTCTTTCACCTAATGCCTCTATTCACCTCGTAAGTAGGTACTCAGGAGTTAGTCAGCTTGTTGTGGGGTTGTATCCTGGGCGGGGTCAGTAATTAGACCTTCGGGGGGGAAGACCTCGATAAAAACCTAAAATGTATGAATACACTCTGGCTTCCTGTCCCTCGACACAATGAATTATTATTATTATTATTATTATTATTATTATTATTATTATTATTATTATTATTATTATTATTATTTTTATTATTATATATCTCCTGTTTCTCGTCTCTCTTGGGTTGCAAGATTTAGTTGCAAACCTTTGTAATTTTTCAATTTTCGTTTTATGTAATAAGCTTGCAGGGGTGGAGGGGGAAACCTCGAACAGACTAACAGGCTTTCTGTCCCCGACTACGGTAAACCAAACAGGCCATCGACACTAGTCAACGAAATGTTTTGTTTACTTAAGTTACTGTAATAACGCGACGTTTTCTATGATGATTCATTGATTGGATATTTTCTATGGTGGGCGCGGCGGTGTGCGCCTGTGCCGACCTGCAGGCAGGCGCACACTGGCATTCCTCCACAGTGTCAACAGATTCGTGCTAGAGGGAACGAGTGTGATTATTTGCTCTTAAGCCTATTACCTATGTACACATACATTTGTGACCGTTGGCTTTTTGCATCACGCGACTGTGTGGTGCGTGAAGGAGCGCTATGGTTGGCGCAGGGGAGGGGTTATGGGGACAGTGGCGTCGGGTAGAGCGGAGAAGGGATATTTGGTCGCGGGGAAATCTGGCGAGGTGGTGGTGGTGGTGTTGTGGTGTCTTGTGCCTGGCTGTGTTCCGTGCTCAGCCGTGTGTGTTCCGTGTGGCTTGGTCAGTTCCGTGCTCAGCCTCGGGGTTCCGTGGGCCCGCCTGCCTTACTGACGCAGGCCGCTTGACGTGTTCACAGTTTACCGCACCTTAATAACGTTCATCTTTTTTTGGCGTTATGTCACGCTTGGTGTTGGTCTTGTTTATGGGGGTCACAGCTTGTGCTGCCGTGTGTTCTGTCTTGTGTTCACTGGAGGCCACGTGTCTTGCTAAATGTCAGCCGCATTGTGCTATAATTGTTCAGTGTTCACTGAGCGTCACGTTGGTAATCTGTAGTGTTCACTACATGTTTGTCGAACACAGAGCTGTATTCAGTGGTCGCAGTGTGTGTGTTGTGTTCAGAATGCTTTGTGTTCACAGTGTTTGTGTTCTGAGTTCACTGTGGTGTATTCTGAGTTCACTGTGGTGTATTCTGAGTTCACTGTGGTGTATTCTGAGTTCACTGTGGTGTATTCTGAGTTCACTGTGGTGTATTCTGAGTTCATTGTGGTGTATTCTGAGTTCACTGTGGTGTATTCTGAGTTCACTGTGGTGTATTCTGAGTTCACTGTGGTGTATTCTGAGTTCACTGTGGTGTATTCTGAGTTCACTGTGGTGTATTCTGAGTTCATTGTGGTGTATTCTGAGTTCACTGTGGTGTATTCTGAGTTCACTGTGGTGTATTCTGAGTTCAGTGTATTCTGAGTTCACTGTGGTGTATTCTGAGTTCACTGTGGTGTATTCTGAGTTCATTGTGGTGTATTCTGAGTTCACTGTGGTGTATTCTGAGTTCATTGTGGTGTATTCTGAGTTCATTGTGGTGTATTCTGAGTTCACTGTGGTGTATTCTGAGTTCACTGTGGTGTATTCTGAGTTCATTGTGGTGTATTCAGTGTTCACGGCATGTATATCTTCAGTGTTCACAGTGTTTGTGTTCTCAGCGGTCGCACCCACCGTATGTTATGTTCCCAGGACACTATTACGGTGTGTTATCACAATGTGTTGTGTTCGGTGTTCACTGTGTTGTGTTCATGTGTCTCGCTGTATTATATTCAGTATGCGTTGTGTATATGTTCCCAATACGTTGTGAAAAGCGTTGACTGTGTTGAGTTCAGCTTTCACAATGTGTTGTGTTCATTGGTCAGTGTGTTGTGTTCACTGGTCAGTGTGTTGTGTTCATTGGTCAGTGTGTTGTGTTCATTGGTCAGTGTGTTGTGTTCATTGGTCAGTGTGTTGTGTTTATTGGTCAGTGTGTTGTGTTCATTGGTCAGTGTGTTGTGTTCATTGGTCAGTGTGTTGTGTTCATTGGTCAGTGTGTTGTGTTCACTGGTCAGTGTGTTGTGTTCATTGATCAGTGTGTTGTGTTCATTGACCAGTGTGTTGTGTTCATTGATCAGTGTGTTGTGTTCATTGATCAGTGTGTTGTGTTCATTGATCAGTGTGTTGTGTTCACTGGTCAGTGTGTTGTGTTCATTGGTCAGTGTATTGGCCAGTCATTATGGTGGTGTTCAGTGGTCACATTATAGTGTTCAGTGGTCACATTATGGTGTTCAGTGGTCACATTATGGTGGTGTTCAGTGGTCACATTATGGTGTTCAGTGGTCACATTATAGTGGTGTTCAGTGGTCACATTATGGTGTTCAGTGGTCACATTATGGTGGTGTTCAGTGGTCACATTATGGTGGTGTTCAGTGGTCACATTATAGTGGTGTTCAGTGGTCACATTATAGTGGTGTTCAGTGGTCACATTATGGTGGTGTTCAGTGGTCACATTATAGTGGTGTTCAGTGGTCACATTATAGTGGTGTTCAGTGGTCACATTATAGTATTCAGTGGTCAGTGTTGTGTTCATGGTCTCTGTTGATGCTCATTTGTCACAGTGTGTTGGTGTTCAGAATCATCGTGTGATCTGTTATGTGCCTAGGGTCCAAAGCGCTGAAAATTCACACTGTATCATCACCTTTTCTAGGTTTTTAATAACAATAACACACACGACAAACTTCTCACCGAATAACTTATTCGCAGGATTCATTTGTCGCATTCTATCCTGAGTTGTGTTAACAAATCAAATCAAATGTTTATTCAGGTAAAGTACATACATACAAGGGGTGATACATATATTGATGAATGTATAGATAGAGCTAGTACATACAATGCCTAAAGCCACTATTACACAAAGCGTTTCGGGCAGGAAAAACACTAAAGACTAAAACTTAATACTAATTGAGATTAAAGTATAAAATGTGTTGAGAAAATCTAAAAATAAAAAAAGGGGGGAACATGGCAGAAAAACAGCAAAAATACAATTTTAATGTGTTCTCTTATGTAAAAGCGGAAAGTAAATTTTTTTAAGCGGAGTAAAATCGAATCGTTGTAGAACATCTAAAATGGAACAATTGCTCTTAGCGCAGTAATATATATATAGCTGCACTAACTACGGTTCTTGTTTCTAATTAAATGATTGTCAGTTTTATCATAATTTAATCAAACTTATCCTATCCTATGAACAAATATCCTATCCTATGTATTATCCTATCCTAATTTAAGCGTAACTAAAAGTAAGCCTATTAACCTATCCTAGCCGCACTTGCGGTTAACAAAATAAACTAAATCTATCCTAATTCTCTCAAAACTATGGTCGTCTAATATGGGACAGTTATTGGTGACGCGACAAACACATTGGTCACAATATCAGTCACCAAAAAACTGTTGGGACAAATAAACAATAAACTTACACATTACAACTGTGAAAAGGTAGCGGTATTCATTTGTCAAATGTACCTGATTTTAGACAAGTACAACTTGCAGTGTTCAACGTACAGTGTTCATCTAAAAGAACACTGTACAAGCTAAGATAAACTCTGGGGCGATTATAAAGTCAAACCTTAATGGCCTTGGGCCAGATTCACAAAGCAGTTACGCAAGCACTTACGAACCTGTACATCTTTTCTCAATCTTTGGCGGCTTTGTTTACAATTATTAAACAGTTAATGAGCTTCGAAGCACCAGGAGGCTGTTTATAACAATAACAACATTTGATTGGGAAGTTTTCATGCTTGTAAACTATTAAATAAATGTAACCAAAGCCATCAAAGATTGAGGAAAGATGTACACGTTCGTAAGTACTTGCGTAACTGCGTCGTGAATCTGGCCCCTTGGCCTTATCTAATACGAAGTTCAAGTTTAAATATGTTTATTGAGACAAGAAAGAAATACATCTCAAAGGGCTAGAGTAGCTTAGGCTATTTCTACCCCCTCCCCCATAATACGAAGTATCTAATAATCCAATGCAAGTCCTAATCATTATAGTTTCATTGTATGATAACCTAACACTGTGTAAACTGAATGTTTACATCTACAGAGAAGTCGTATTCTCATCTGCTAGGTTCAGAGCCCACCTGTATGTTTATCTTTAGTCAAATATCTATTCAACTCATAGAAACACCAACTACTGGTGCGGATCAAGGATGAACAAGAACAATTTATATTTATAGCTAGTTTTTTATCTACACTGTGTAATCTTTTATATAGAATACGGTAGCAGCACATTGCTGTGCATTCCTAAGCTTGTTAATAAACAAAAACAAAAAAAACATATACCTGTACAAGAAATGCCAAATTGATATTACTGTACACATAAATTTGTTTTTGTTCTTCATCATTGATGTTATTTCATCAATTTGTTCATCAATTTCATCATTTGTTCTTCATCCTTGATGATTATTTAGATTTCATAACTATAATCCCTATATTCAGTGACTTTCCAGTTTCTTGATAAACAAATTTAAAGCTATTGTAGTAATTTGAAAAATTTGGCAGTGCATTAAATTATATAGATTTGGAAAAGAAAAAAATCATTCCTTTAGTGTTCACGATGAGTTGCGTTTTCAGAAATGTGGAAAAATTCTGTTGCTTTAAACAAGTGATAATATTAATATTATAAAAATGTGAGTACTGAAGGTGTTCTCATAAAGTCATGCCATACACCTTCGAGATGTGAAATTAATGAGAGCTAATGAGAAAAGTCTTCCTTTTGTGGTGTCCGCGAGTTAAACAAAATCCCCCAGAACTGTGATCAACGTTTACCGGTTATTAGTGTTGTTGTTAATACTGTTCAACATCGTTAAGTGTCACTGGATGTTAATGGTTCATCCCCAACTGTTGGCGCCAGGCTGACTAACTCCTCCAACCTCAAATTACCCGGAATTACCAACGTCACCAAACTGCTGGTCGTCGGTGTGATCAGGTAAGGTACTAAGATATCTTTCAGTACAACTGTTATCTGAGGGAACATTAGTGTGTGTGTGTGTATATACTCATTAGCTGTGTTTGTTGACAACAAACTAGCCGTCTCTGGCGACAACAATAAGAAATGTTAGTTGTTGTACCCTATGGGGGGGGGGAGGTTAATGGTATTGAGGGATCTCGATAAGCCTAACTGACTTCGTATCCTCGGTATCGGTGGATTATTATACCAAGTATAATATCGTACTGAATGAATTTGAGTATAATTAAGCCTCTGGAGGAACATTAGGCTGCGCCCTCTTGTCGCCGGAGCCAAACACCATCAATAGTCGCTAAACACAACCCTCAGAGAAGCGTTTGCTACCTGTGGTTGGAGAGAGAGTTGTAATAGTCTATTATTTTCCCATTAGGTCGCTTGTCTTGTTATGGAGGTCACCCAATTGCGTGTGTGACATCATAATGAAGATTGTCTTGTGATAACCAACTGTCGGTCGGGCTCTATCGTCTTCCCAAGGTCTTCAAGCCGACACGCCTTCCTATTTAACCCGGAAACAATGCGGAGATGTCGTTACACATAGCCGAGCCCCGCTCCTGTGCCAGGTAAGTTCACTACGGGATCACCATAGCCCGTGCTACTTGGAACTTGGTCCGAGTAGCTGAATCTATAACAAAAACAACGGAGATGTGTGTGGTGTTAATTCTGCGTTTGCTTCTAATGTACCGCTATTATCTTCGCTTCCCCTACATAGGGTATTTTCATCCCTTAACAACACAACGATGGTTGAGAGGAAGTAATGTTACAACTGCTGCTACCAGTTGTAGCATGTATATATGTTGTAATATACTAGGCTAGTAACTACCAGTAGGCTACTAATATTAGCTAGTATAAGGAATGGTGTTGTCTTTATTTATATATATATTAATATTTTAGCTAACTACATAACACGTGTAAAATAAACAAGTTAGTGGAGGTAATCGAATTAAATAATATAAATAATACTGTTTGCAGTAATGGGAAGATAAACAAGGAAAAGTTACGAAACACAGCAAATAACAACTACAATAACAACTTAAGCTCATCAACAATAATATTGTGGTAACAATATACAGAACAAATCTAAAGAAAACGAGACTTTACTTAAAGATACGAGAGACCCACTAAGACATGCAACGCGTGGCCAGCGCTGCGCAAGTTTCCCGTTTTCCTTGACGAGGTCGTAATTACGTCGGAGCGTTTTCCTTATCGACCTTGACCTAATGGACCCAAAGTTGCAACTTCTCCAGCTGTCTCCCGTCTTAGGGTGTTGCACAGAGGCAAGATGTGTGCGTCCCTCGCACTGTGAGGGTGAACACATAGGCTGTGTGTGTGACACTTGGTGCTTGCAAGCACCAACTTGCGAGTACTTAGTGATATTGGGGTCAACAGGAAACATATATATATGTGTGTTCTTTCAGTCAAAGTTTCAGTTCAGCTGCTGTGTTTGGCTACAGCTCTTTTACTATACGTAAAATTTTGGATGATTGGAGACCAAATTTTGGGGTGACCACATGTGTGTGGGGTGACCACATATGTGTGGGGTGACCACATGTGTGGGGTGACCATATGTGTTATAAACAACCTCGTAGTGCTTCAGAGCTCATCAGCTGATTATGAAATGTAAACAAAGCCGACGTGATTGAGGGAAAAAATGTCCAGATATCGTAAGTGGTTGTGTACATGCTTCATGAATGGCGGCCTGGGGCAGGACACGTGTAGGAACTGGTCTATGTTGATAAGACTGGTTCCTCTTCCACGACCCATTGTATCACTCACACCGCTCTCAATTATCACAGTCTCTTGTTACACTTCTCAACAATTACTGTTAAGTGTCTAATGCACTTTTGCTTTCCTCAAAAATATTTGAAGTTTAAAAAAAAATTGGATTGCATTAAAACATTTTGATATTAGTTGTTCAGTAACGGTTTTTATTAGATGGTGCCATATATATATATATATATATATATATATATATATATATATATATATATATCTACGCAGAACGAAGTGTCCATGTAGCACGGGGTATGGTGAGCCCGCAAGTCTCTGGTCGCCAAGCTGTACCATTATAGGTAGCCGGGAGTTAGGCTTTTGTTATGTGGGTTGCATCGTGAGGACGGTCAGTAGTGGGCCTAGCCAACAGGTGGCCCCTTGATAACTTAAAGCGCAGGCTTCCTGTCCCCAACGACTGGAATTAAACAAGAGAATGGCCGTGAGCTCGTCATTAGGCTCTCGTAGGGTGTCATTAGCCTCTCGTAGGGCGTCATTAGGCTCTCGTAGGGCGTCATTAGCCTCTCGTAGGGCATCATTAGGCTCTCGTAGGGCGTCATTAGCCTCTCGTAGGGCGTCATTAGCCTCTCGTAGGGCGTCATTAGGCTCTCGTAGGGCGTCATTAGGCTCTCGAAGGGCGTCATTAGGCTCTCGTAGGGCGTCATTAGCCTCTCGTAGGGCGTCATTAGCCTCTCGTAGGGCGTCATTAGCCTCTCGTAGGGCGTCATTAGCCTCTCGTAGGGCGTCATTAGGCTCTCGTAGGGCCAACATCTCTCTCTCTGTGTGACAGTCTTCAGAAACCTCATTGTTCAATGGTCTCTCAAGTAAATTAACTTATTTTATATTTATAAATTTTAAATACAATCTCAACACTAATGAAGTTACGTTTTTTTTCATATTGTTCCCATTATTTTAATGTACACCATTAACTTTAATATCGTGGGAGATTTTGGTCAATTAATGAGGTTCCCAGAAAGTTGATTAACTGAGTTTGTGCAGCCAGAGCCACGAGGGAAGTATATCATGAGGAACCTTTTTGGTGGGCTGGTATATATGTGCCAGCCATGGTATATATATATATACCATGGCTGGCACATATATATATATATATATATATATATATATATATATATATATATATATATATATATATATATATATATATATATATATGTCGTACCTAGTAGCCAGAACTCACTTCTCAGCCTACTATGCGAGGCCCGATTTGCCTAATAAGCCAAGTTTTACTGAATTATTATATTTTCTCTAATTTTTTTCTTATGAAATGATAAAGCTACCCATTTCATTATGTATGAGGTCAATTTTTTTTAATTAGAGTTAAAATTAACGTAGATATATGACCGAACCTAACCAACCCTACCTAACCTAACCTAACCTATCTCTATAGGTTAGGTTAGGTTAGGTGGCCGAAAACGTTAGGTTAGGTTAGGTTAGGTAGGTTAGGTTGTCGAAAAAACATTAATTCATGAAAACTAGGCTTATTAGGCAAATCGGGCCTTGCATAGTAGGCTGAGAAGTGAGTTCTGGCTACTAGGTACGACATATATATATATATATATATATATATATATATATATATATATATATATATATATATATATACCCTTCCCTTATAATTAAAAATATATATATATATATATATATATATATATATATATATATATATATATATATATATATGGCGGGCCCTAACACTCTGGCTGATGCCTATATTACCGTAAGATGTATGTTCTCACTTCCCTCCCTCACCCCCCCCCCCCCCTCTCTCTCTCTCTCTCTCTCTCTCTCTCTCTCTCTCTCTCTCTCTCTCTCTCTCTCTCTCTCTCTCTCTCTCTCTCTCTCTCTCTCTCTCTCTCTCTCTCTCTCTCTCTCTCTCTCTCACACTCCTCTAACCTGACCTTCTACCTCTTCATTTCTCCCCCTCCCCCCCCGTCTTCTTAACGGACTCATCACATGTCTCCCCCCCTCCCCCCCCCCCTCACCTGCCTCACGTTCACCTGGGGGCGTGTGTAGGGGGTGTGGGGTGGGGGGTTATTGTGTGAGAACAAAGATTACTGGTGCGTGTGGGCGGTGGGTTGGGGTGGGTGGGGGTGTGCCAGCGTGGGAGTAATGGGTGGGGGGGTGGGGGGTTGGCTGAGGGGTGGTGCTGGAATGGGTCCAATGGGGTTTGGAGTTGTTTGGTGGTGTGTGGGGGTAATGGTAGGGTGGTTAAATGAACAGATCCACAAGGGGCCGTGACGAGGTTCGAATCCTGGTCACGGCCCTTTGTGGATCTGTTCATTTGATGCATCACGTTAGTGTGATCTCTGTGTGTGGTAGAGGGGGTCGGTGGTTTGGGGTTGGGCCAGTTGGAGTAATTTAGTAGTTTCATAATTATATGAGACAATAATTATATTAATGTCAAAGTTAGCCCGAGTCGTAATTGAAATTTTAGACCAAAGTCGTGAGAAGTTGACTCAGAATATAACCAGTCGTGGATCACAAAAAAAATATGAAAAACAAAGAAAAAATAATTTGTAATAGTTGGTTAAATTTGCTTGTTAAAAAAATCAGTACAGAACTGGTGAAGAACTGGTTGGCGTGTGTTGAAGAACACTCAAGAACTGGTTGGCGTGTGTTGAAGAACACTCAAGAACTGGTTGGTGTGTGTGTTGAAGAACACTCAAGAACTGGTTGGTGTGTGTGTTGAAGAACACTCAAGAACTGGTTGGTGTGTGTGTTGAAGAACACTCAAGAACTGGTTGGTGTGTGTTGAAGAACACTGAAGAACTGGTTGGTGTGTGTGTTGAAGAACACTGAAGAACTGGTTGGTGTGTGTTGAAGAACACTGAAGAACTGGTTGGTGTGTGTTGAAGAACACTCAAGAACTGGTTGGTGTGTGTTGAAGAACACTGAAGAACTGGTTGGTGTGTGTGTTGAAGAACACTGAAGAACTGGTTGGTGTGTGTTGAAGAACACTGAAGAACTGGTTGGTGTGTGTGTTGAAGAACACTGAAGAACTGGTTGGTGTGTGTGTTGAAGAACACTGAAGAACTGGTTGGTGTGTGTGTTGAAGAACACTGAAGAACTGGTTGGTGTGTGTTGAAGAACACTGAAGAACTGGTTGGCGTGTGTTGAAGAACACTCAAGAACTGGTTGGTGTGTGTTGAAGAACACTCAAGAACTGGTTGGTG